TGTAATTTATGTGGTTTCAATATGCAGTCTACACCATCTTTACAAAAAATTATTTTAATATGTAATTAAATCTGAAACCATTAACATCACCAATTATTAAAGAAATTTCACAATTAATTTTTTTTTTACCTTTTCTGTTTCCTAGTATGGACACCATTTCTGTCTGCATGATAGTGTCTTTTTCTGCAGTTTGATGATTCATTGCCTTTTTATAAATTGTGTTGTATGAATTATTTGCTTTTGCATCTTTTATAATTTCTTGTACATCTTTTTTGGAAAACATTTTGACTGTCTGTGTGACCCTCGTTATTTTTATTTGCGATATATTTTCCAAAATATTTTTTTTTTAAATTGGAATCTCATTTTCCCAGTATTGTGTTGTCCCAAACTCGGCAAACCAAGCGTCTTCCCTTTTATTTCTCTTTGAGTCTCTGTTGTTTTCTTTATCTCTTTGTATTCAGATACTGTTTCTTTTGTTTTGTTTTTTCTCGTTTGTGTTTCTTATCAACAGAATCATTCTTTGTTGAACTTTACTTTGGATTCAGCATGCCTAGGCGCTGCAGCAGCCATTAGTTTAGTTTTCTTCCACCTTCCTTTGTTCTACCTCAGTAATGTAGCTTTCCATTTGTCACTTTTGTTCAACCTACCTGTGAATGTGCTTCTTCTTTGGGGTCCACCTCTTTGAACTAACATACAATCAGCATCTGTCTCGTTTTTTATCTGACCGTGTAGGTTTTGTTCAGTTCTCTTCCATCATCTATCTTCATGTATTCTCATTAGATGTAGTGCAAATGTTTTTCTTTTCTTTGTCTGCAGTAAATAATCTCAAACTCCTATCACATAACAATCTTTTGTGCTTTGCTACAATTCCGACTGTAACATTACTGTTACCGCAAAATTATTATAACAGTATGTTTAAGAATAAAACTGTGTGTGCAGAGAGCTCATCAATGTACGAACTTTAGGTCATTGCATATCTCAAAAATCTTAAAGGTGGGATGTTCTGCAAGTTTTACTTGTGTGGGCTTCACGTCTTGTGATAATCTCAATCCCTAAGTAAATACATACAGGAAGTGTTACTTTGATTATTTCATGTATGTTTGGATCTCACATGGCAACCACAATGCCTGCACATACAAGTGTTGTAATGAGTACTGAAGGGGGAGTGTCAAAGTGTAGGAGGGGCTTAAAGAGACCCATTTTGTGACATTACAGCCACAAGCATAGCATTTTATTGTAACTGTATATTAAAGACCAACACAAAGCTGTATACAATTGGGAAGAAGAAAAGAAATATGATCAAAACATTTTCTACAAAAAAAAACTGAAAAGTTTGGTGTGAAGAAGTATTCTTAAAGTAACTGAGCCTAAAAAAGCAGAAATAACCTAAACTTTCGACTTACACAAAACAAAAGACTATTTCCACCAAAATGAGATATTTACTCACTTATTTGATTATTTAATAATTATGTGCAAAAATTCCTGCTATGCACCTGTCTTTCAGACAACATAGGAATTGCCTCTCTAAAATAGCCCTCTTCCTTTATTATTGCAACATGGTATATGATTGAATTTATTTATTTCATTTTTTGTATTTTTTATTAATTTAAATGTCAAAGTTAATGGACATTTTTATTGTCCATTTGGATAGCAGTAACTTGCAGTACACGACATTATTGTTAAAGTATGAATAAACACAGGGTTTATAACTTGTGTACTGCAAGTTACTGCTATCCAAATGGACAATTAAAAATTTCCATTTCATTAACAGTTTTAAATTGTGGTGGGGGTCTAATGGTGTGCAAAATGTGGTATCCCTTGTAGCACTTAAGCATCCTCTAAAAGTCATAACCATGTTCTTCCATTTGTGACAACAGTTTACCATTTTCTGATGGCTGCTTCCTGGTGGATAATTTACAAAAGAACAAAACTGATATCATCTCACACTGGTTTCATAACCATGACAGATTTATTGTATCTCAGTGGCATTCACAGTTACCAAAGCATAGAGCGCGTATTTGAGATGTGGTGGAAGGAGAAAAGCAACTTAACATGCATGCTGCTACGATATTAGATCATACAAGAATAACAATTCTTTTCATCCTCTTGCTAAATCAATTCTGCAAACATTCTGCAGTCAATTGGCCTGATGTATAGAACTAGCAATGTCTGCATAATTTGTTAATCTGCTTAATATATTTATTTCAAAGGGTCAAATATATGCACTTGACATGTTATGTACTATAGCACTTGTAACAATTCTTAATTTGCAATTCTTATCCCTAAAACAAATTAATATTACCCTTCTAAAAATAGGTGGTGAGTATTATTAGTTTCTGTAACTGAGAAATAGATCAAAATGGTTGTTTCAATAGTTATGTGAAAATAACAATCAGTATTGAGGAGGTTAGTCGTAAGACATCCATCAAATATAAAATGGAGAATATAAACACATTTATAAAGATGCATCTATGGTCCTGGGGTTTCCTTTTTGTAAGTCATTGTATTGACAATAGTATACTGAATCTAATTCTACATTCCAGAGTTGATTTTCAACTACTGGTATAGGTTTATATCTGCTATTTTCATCAAATGAGGTGAGAAATGAGAAAAATGTAGGAGAAAATTGGTCATAGGGCCAGTTATCTGGAGCCTATGAAAACAAAATGAGGCTCTGCTACAGCACACCAATACTTTGCCTTGTCACAAGGGTCTCAAGAAAGTGACTGAAATTTTATTTTTGGAGTCACTAACTTTTGACTTGTCAAATTCTTGCAACCTGTCATCGCTTCAAATGTGTCTCTGGGCCTCCACTGCTACCTTAAAACTCTGACTCAAGTCCTGTATAATTTCCCCATCTTCCCAGCTCCCTCTGTGCTAAATTGCATTGGAAGATGGATTTTTTGGCATCTGAGGCTGTCAGGTCTCAGCCATGGAAGACTTTATGCACTAGTACACTCGCAATGAAAGAGAATTCTGTAAGGATGGAAGGTTACAGTGGAGAGTCAACCACTACTGCTCCAGCAAATCTTTAGACATTTTTTGTGGCTGTGATTGTATGTATTTAGCAATAATGTCAGTGCTTCAGATCTCCTTTTTGGTCCCCTTTTATTTTTTCATTCTTAATTTCTTTGTCTCTCTAAATCTATTTCTCTCACATGGCCTTGATCTTACTGACTGCCAGCTTTCATAATGATGATAGGATCTGGTCCAGCAGCAATAAGAATACTGCCTTTATTCTAGATTGAACTATTATCTTCATTTTTATTACAGTTATTACAGTATGCATATGCATGAATTGACGAACATATTCTACATTATAACATGGCCTGGGTGAATATACTCCTCGTGGGCTGAGGGCTGTTCATTAATTTTCGATAACAGGACCCCTCAAACAGAAACCAAGCTATCACCATGAATGGATATTATGCCTGCATGCTTCTGGGGAAAAAATGTTTCTAGTAGGATGAATTTAGGAATATCCACATTAAGAAGTGAAGATTTTATTTCCATATCGTTCCCATGACTCCTCCTCCAACACACCTCCATTGAGATGTTTGTGGAAACAGGACTCATCACAGCATCATACAGAAATCTGGGGGGATAAACCTTCTGTGGATGAAAGCATCTGTTCACATTTGAAAAAAGACAGAGTGAATCTTAAGGAAAGCCCAGCTAAGCAATGGGCTGTCGAAGCAATTAAGCTGCTTCTTAAGTGCTCAGTTACCTGACAATGTTAACATTCTCATGTCTGTCGGAAAAATCCTTCTGTTTATGCTAATGATAATATATGAGAGGTCAGATATTTGTGTCACATCTTCCTGAAATCTGTTTAGTAATAATCACTAATTAGATGAACCAAATATAACGTGTCATTAATGTTTTGAATACTGTGCTGCAGGCTAACAGCTTTAAAAAATATATAGGAATGGTGTGAAATATTTAGACCTTATAATGACAAACCTTGTTCCTTTAGACTCTGATCTTGGAGACACTCATTGGACTACTGACAATTTAATATTCCAGCAAAAATTAATGTGGCTAATATTTAATTGATTGATGAGGTTTGACGGACTGAACAGAAGTGGACCAGTCCTTCATACGTATGGAGGCAGTTCTTTTTGTGAGAGACAGACTGAGTGCACATTTATTAGGCCAATAGCTACGTTAGTGGCTTTGTAGAAGAGCAATACAGCTAAACAAAGAAATGTTGGGCCAGTAGGATTCCCATTGGGACAGAAAATAAATTTGCAAAGTAATTAGTAAACACATTAGCTACTTCAAAAACTGCTCAGAAGATAGCCCCCTTCCTAAAAAGAGACATGATAAAGCACATACACACTGGATCAAGCATAGCTTCTGTGAAGTAAAAAAAAAAAGGAACAGTCAATGTGGTTAATGCCCGACCATAACAAATGTAGAGAAAATAGCTAAATTTCATCAATTCAACCAAGAAATATTATCGCCTCCTCCTGCTGTTATGATATCATACTCTCAAAGTTTCTTAAGGAAGTTCTGCCAGTCTTTGCATCTGATCTGATTCAAATAGTAAATTCTTCTCTTCTGTTTGTTTTCCCCAGGCTTTGTAAACAGTTGCTGTCAAACCACAAACATAAAAGAACAATCTGGACGAGTCACTTCTGCAGAATTACAGACCAATCTGCAGAACTTCCATTCATCAGCAAAATTGTTGAAAAAGCTGTTAGTTTCTAAACAATGTGTAACGCTTTCTTTGGATGCGCAGATCTGACTGCAAGGTATAGTGTTAACCAGTTTGTAGATCAGAAGTAGGTACGACATGGAGTCATGATTGGGAGAATAATTAATACAACTGATGCAAAAAGGTGTGTTAATACTGCTATTTATTGCAGTGGCAATAATAATAATAATAATAATGATAATACCAAAACAACAAAAATAAATAAATAAAGTTCTCAAAAGAAACAAGAACATAGAAAACAAACAAAACACTTATAATAATAATCAGTGACACTTCAAAACCTAATAGAGTCCACAAGAGGTCCAAAAATGAAGGGAGAATAGTTATTTTCCCTTTTTGATACTCCTTAGAGTCTGTTCAGTTCCTATATGGAAAGTGTAGTTCTGTTTCCTACCACCAGCTGGTGGGTGGGTAGCTCGCCATCTTCCGTCATCCAGTGTATCCGTGAAGGGATCCGGAAGAAAAAAAACCTGACCTAAAAGGCCAGCAAACACACATTAAGTTCATATATAAATGTTATATTTATATAAGTAAAAAACAAATACATACTTGCTATGTTTTGACAATTTCATTATAATAAGAAAAAAATTATTTTAAAAAGTGCAGTTCATAATTCAAGTTCAAAATTGCTTAATTGACATAATTAGCAGTCGTTAAACAACTAATTGAATCAAATCAATCAATTTAAAAATGTGATTGATCAGATTAGCTACAACCAAGATCATGTTGGATACCAAACTTCATTGCTGCACCAGCATAGAAAGTAACACCAACAAAGAAATCATGAAAAATAATCAAATCTAAAGTTGAAGGTGAAGCCCTTAAGTATCAAAGGTGTGGTCTTTAATTCGGCTGTAACAGTATGACTTTTTATAAAGTAAGTAATTCATAAGTAAACTAAACTGATGTGGCCACTGATTGTCGAGTTGGTAGCTAATGCTAACTGGCGGAGCGTAGCAAAAATAACGCCCTACTATAAATGACTGATATTTACTCACCGTCGAGTAACGGATTGTCTGAGGAGGTGGATGCAATGATAAGTTGTTCAAATCAGGAAGGTATCACAACCTGGCGAATATTGTAATGGGAGGGAATGTTAGCGGCGCTATTATTGCAGATACAACACAACATCAAGTCAGATGGTATTTGACAACTCACCGGAGATCTTCAAAGTTTAGAGATTAAATGAGTGATGTGTCGATTTAGAACTTCAAGTTGTTTTATCAACAACTGACGCGACAACCAAGTGAGCAGCAGCCAACCCGGAAACACACATGACAATGAACTTAAAGGGATGGGCTTAAAGGGAAGATGATTGGGTCATGTCGGTCACATGGGTTACAAATGACCAACAACCTGTTTGACATCTTTCAGTCCGGTTTCTGTTTTCCCTCACCAAAGTGATCAGTGACATCAGTATAAATACAGACTGTGGAAGAACCGCAGAGTTTGTTCTGTTGAATCTGAGCGCAGGTCACTGACACGGCTGAACACTGTTGACCATAACATTCTATTAATGCGACTGGAGTAGTCGCTCGAACTCTGGTTCAGCACAATCTGGGTTGAATCTTACCTAAAGAACACTGTTTTCCCTGTTTTCTTTGTGTCAATAGATCAGTAGATATTAACTTCCCATTCTGAACCCAGGTCTACTCTGCATCCCTACAATCAGAACCAAACATGGAAAGCATTGTTAAGTTTTATGCTCCAGTCATCTGGAACAAACTTGCAGAAAACGGCAAAAGAGACTTTACACTGAGTTACTTTAAATCAAAGCTAAAACCCTGTTATTTATAGTTTACAGCTTTTATACCTGGAAAATTGACCTATGTATTTTATGTAAATTTGCTTGATGAGTTTGATGGCAGTTGAGAAAATGTAATATTTGTTGCTTGTTGTGTAATTGGCTATTATTCTATGATAAATAGCCTCAGCTGAGGCCATTGTTTTAAGAAAGAAACAATGTTTTTAATGTGTGAAGTACTTTCTGAACCTAGGGCCTCGTCTAGGTTCAGAATCTGAAGCTTGTAGCTTCTTTAACATAAAACCATCACATACATTACTTTAATTTCTGGTATTGACTAAATCCAAGGACAGGTAAAGCTGAGGTACCATTCAGCCCAGCTACTTTTACCTTTCCTAGCGTAATGTATAAATGGTCCTTCAAATGACGAAAGCCGTTGTGGTAGATGTAGCAATACCAAGTGACTCCAACATCAGGAAAAAGGAGCACGAGAAACTGGAGAAATACCAGGGCCTCAGGGAGGAACTGGAGAGGGCCTGGAAGGTGAAGACCACAGTGGTGCCTGTGGTCATCGGGGCCCTCGGGGCAGTAACCCCCAAACTGGAGCAGTGGCTACAACAGATCCCAGGAACAACATCAGACATCTCAGTCCAGAAATGTGCAGTCCTTGGCACAGCCAAGATACTGCAGGACCCTCAAGCTCCCAGGCCTCTGGTAGAGGACCCGAGCTCAGAGGATAAGAACCACCCGCGGTGGGTGAAAAATATTTCCCATTCAGGTTACTGCCTGTGTGAACAAGATTCATGATGATTTGATTTCAGCAGTACTTCTCATATTTTGTTTAAATATTTTTGGCTAAAATAAGTTTTTGTTTCCCATAGTTTTCCATGTTATTGTAAGTTATTCTTCACTGCCATAAAGTCTAAAAGCCGTTTGACAGGTTGTCAATAAATTGATAAATGGAGTATTCAATCTGCAATTACATTCACTGGATCAGTCCATTACAAGTCATTTTGCTCATGAGCTTAAGAATGTCTAAACAAAGAAATCCAGATGTTCATGAAGAGAGACAACCAGATTGGTGCAGCCGAGTGCCCTTGGTGTTAGTGCTGGTTGTGTTAAGTATAGTTTTGGTCAATTGTGCCACATTGTTTTACTTTTGATTTAACCATTCTTGGACTTTTTGGACATATGTTTTTGTTTTGGGAAACCCGACTATTAAAATGGGCAACATCTATCTGCCAAACATGAGCTGCTCTGTTTTTTCAATCTTTTTCTTTGAGTTCTGTATATTTAAACAAGCGGATGTGTTTGGTCAGATTAGATGAAGGCCTGCATCTGTTCACTTAAAACCAGCAACAAAGAATGCATATTAATTTATTTCATATTCAGCACCTTTTGTTTTCCAAGTTCATATTATTAAGTCATTCAAATAACTTCTTTTTCTTTTTTAAATTTATAAAGTTTCAACACACGAACAATTGGAGGAGCTCTTAACTGTCTTGGTTTTATCATCAGCCCTATTGTGGGAGGCTGGTCCTGCAATCAAGAGAGTCTGGGTGAGTACTGTGGGGTCAGCCATTTCACTCTGCCCTTGCATGAAAATGAAACGCGAATTAATCAAAAAGGAAATTATTCGTCTGTATGGGAGATAGATGTGTTGTTTTGGTATATCTTTTGTTTTTATCCAAATAAAATTATAGTTGTCCATGTGCTTTTAATTTCTCCTTTACAATGGCCTTTGAAGCTTAATGGTAAGGAATGCTAAAGTGAAAATACACTGAGTTGAAAATGTTAAGATCTGCCTCATTTTTACCTCTCGTGCTGGTTTTCATAAATTATGAACTTCATAGCAATAAACCAGTACTGCAATCAACAAGCACAATGTCACAGAGCAAAAAGGCATCAAACATGGCAACATAAGCCACAAACAATAAATATACCAATCTATCCATCTTCAAAAATTAAGCGAATGACCTGAAAATATGCCCTGTGATTATATTTACTTGCACTGCTACTTAGCTGCTTGTAAAGTGACTGACAGATAAGAAGGGACATTACTGAGAGTAACAATATTTCATCAGCACAATATTTTAATGCAGTTTTTAAAAACTGTCTTCAAAATAAATAATAGAAAACAAATAAAACGTGCCTTCAAGGATCTGTATGTCACTAAATCTAATCATTTGAGTTTGACATCCAGATGCGTCTTGCAGTGTATCTGTGTCTCTGAGTTTCAGAAACAAATGTTCCCAGAGGAGTGGAGCACCTGACTGGACATCTGTGCTGCCACACTTTATAATTTGTAATTCTGAGGTTGTCTTTCCAAAACCAATTTCCAATCCAATCCACTTTACTTCTAAAGCACATTGAACAATTATTAATGGTTGACCAAAGTGCTGCACTTTAATGGAAGAAGTAAAATTAGACATCAAACAATGTGAGACAACACAGTAACTCACACAAAGTAACAAACAACTCAGGCTGTGTTGAACACCAGTTAAACTACGACTCCTCAAAAAAACAATGTAAAATGAAACAGTGAAGCAGCCTGCCCGACATGTGGAGTTAACCCCTTCCATGTCGAAGGGCCACAACAGCAAGCATCAGCCTTGACTTCACAACGACCAAGAGCAACTGGTTACCTGACCTGAGAGTACTGGTAAAGCAAGCCAAAGAGATAAGGTGGAGCACATTTAAACAAAGCAAATAACCAACTTCTCTGCTAGTTTGCACATAACTTTACCATTTGCTCTTATTTTTGCTTTTATTTTTGAGGTGAACTGATTTTTTTAGGTTTAGTTTTGGTGCACTTAGTGTTTATTGGAGTTTTTCTTGCATTTCTAATTATGCTTTATTCTGTTATCTCAAAAAGTCTGTCCAAATAAACTGTACTGTGGACTACCTAACAGTTGAACATGCTCTAAAAATGAACATTAGCCATAGTTTGACTTGTAAGTTAAAACAAGACCAAAGCAATGAAATTGTAACAGATCAGAGGATTCTGAAACACTCAGAGTCCACTGTCTGACAATTGTCCCATTTTCAAAGTTGTTTAAATCTCCTTTCTTCCCAAATATGATGTGGGAATAAGGATACCTGACAAAGTGGTCAGTTATGTGTGAGTGGACTTCAAAGTGCACACAATTTTTATTTTATTAAAAGAAAACTTGAAATAAATTGCTCTTTAGGCAATAAGCATTTTACCTCTACTACAGTTTTGTACTGTGTGGTCCAGGCTTACTAAGAACAGTGAAGCTTGACTGTATTCAATCTGCCTGTGAGCCTTCAAATCAAGAGACTCCCCAGCAGACCTATTGGAAGTCTTACAGGGCCACCAGTGATTTCAAACGCATCTCCACAGCAGTTATCTTAAATCAGTGAAGCAAAAAGGGAGAAAGAGAGAAAGAGAGAGAGAGAGAGAGAGAGAGAGGTTTTAATTCTGCATCTTCTCATCTGGGCCTCAAAGAATGAAAGTTTCAGTTCTTTAGTTGAAATATTTTAGTGTACTAATCCTTTTTTCCCCAGCAATTAGTTATTGAGGCAATATGTTATCACTGATAAAAAAATAAGAAATGTGTGAATCTGGCAGAATTGCACAGTTAGATCAGGTAAAATCTCTGAAAGATGACTTCCATTTTCTGTAAGAAGCAAAACTGAACTTTGAGTCGACAGCAGCTTTAATCATTCAAGTACTCAAGGCGTTACTTAATGTGTCCTGAATGATGCACTTCTCTCCCCGTACAACTACCTGCGAGAGCCACCTATCAAATTTATATGCCAGGCAGCTCAGCTGTGCTCATTCAGAATTTATTCATATTATAGTTCATATGAATGTGTTAGATGGACAATATTTGCTTGGCCTGTGGCCTTGCCTGCTGCAGTATTCTGTGCTCAGTGGAGAGGGCACCAGGAGCAGGTGATATTTGCCTAATAGCATGCCCCCGGCACACAATGAGCACTAACCCAAGCTAAAAAGATTATGCAGGAATTTTGTTTTGCTGCAAAAGCTACCTTACCTTTTATTGAGGAGATTTCTTAGCCTGGTGTTTCAGACCATTGTAAGAAAACATTTTGCAAGACTGACATTGTATTCGGGGGGAAAAAAAACTGGTAATTTGAGAAAAATAAATTGAAGAAATATTAAGATCTTCTCTGTAACACTGCGTCATTTATCAGGGGAGTGTGAATTTAGTGTGTATGGGTTTCTCTGCGTCCTTGAATTATAAATCATTCCTACTGCAGTCTGCAGATTTTTATTTGAAGGTTTTTGTCACGTTTGTAAAAAGTCTCACTGGGATTAGGTTTGAATAATTTTTCTTGTCTCTTTTTTTCACTCTCTGACCTGTGTTTACATGCTACACCTTTGTATTATTAAATACATTTATCCATTACGGTATTTGCTTAATCATCACACAGTAGTAAGATTTAAATTTTTCCTTGATACATGACATGTTTTAAATAATTTCCTGTAGGACCTTTATTGGGGAAATTTTATA